AAATTACGTAATTGTTGTGTCGAAGCTGACGAAATACTTGTGTCGCGGAGGTATGAAGTGTGTTGCCTACCTAACTTATCTTAGAAGTCTGATCGATCGCAGCGTGTTTGTACTTGGCGAAATTTCGCTAAGGATACAATATTCTCCTGGTTCTTGTTAACTCACTACATACGATTTATGCGAGATAAATGTACCTTAAGTAAGGGAACTAATATACTGCGTAACAGATTTCGACTGGTCATGATTTACATTCATTGAGGCATACAAAAAACGATTGTTGAGTTTTTATTTTGAGCTAACTTTAATAACGTGTCAAGTCACTGCTTTGCAGAATTGTGGAGTCTTTGTAGGTAGTCGTTACAAAATAACTGATCATCATCCAGGACTTCATTCCTTTGAGATCCATCATAGACTTAAACATCTCTTAACTCATTTGATTTTAATACAGGCTAATAACACACATTGGGTTATAATGCCTGCATCGACACCCGAACTAGTGATAGGGAGTGAAGTAGTCGAGTGTGTCGACCGCTTCACTTATCTTGGAAGTCTCATCAGCCCTTGTGGTTTGGTGTGTGACGAAATCTCAGCACGGATACAGAAGGCTCGACTAGCTTTTGCCAACTTGCATCATTTATGGCGTAGGCGAGATATCCGTCTACCAACCAAAGGACGTGTTTACTGCGCAGCAGTTCGTTCCGTCCTACTTTATGGCAGTGAAACATGGCCGGTAAGAGTAGAGGATATTCGTAGGTTACAAGTATTTGATCATAGGTGTCTTCGAAGTATTGCTCGTATATCCTGGGACCACCGAGTAAGTAACGCAGCTGTTAGGAAACGGGTACTAGGTAAGGATGTCAAATCAATTGATGAAGTAGTGAAACTTCATCAGTTGAGATGGCTGGGACACGTGTTACGTATGCCGAACGACCGACTACCTCGACGTGCTATATTCAGTGGTATAGGAGTAGGTTGGAAGAAAGCTAGTGGCGGCCAAACCAAAACATGGCACAAATCCATGAAGTCACTGACAAGTGGACTGAGTCATGTTGGTAGGTGTAAACTACCTGGTTGGGGACCGCGAGATGATAGCAACCGATGGTTAGAGACCCTGAATGAAATGGCTCAAAATCGTTTGCAATGGCGCAGGTGCATCCACTCTCTATGTTCTCCCAAATTCTAATCTTCTGAATTCTTCATGTCCCTTTTTTTCCTCTTTCCAAATTTATTTCACTGGATTATACTCGTTAAATAACATCTCCAAACCCTAATCTTCCCGATTACTGCTTATACTCTTGCTACCTCTACCACTACGGGATTTGAATCGACCACTGCATCTCTGTGCTAATGTGGTATGGCAACTCGAACTGATGTACGTACGTACTAAGTTCTACGTTGTAACTGACTGACTGTCTGAATGCCTGCTCTACCTAAATATTGACTGTCAGACTTCGCTGTTGCCACAAGATGAAAGCCATTTTCCAAAGGGTCATTGGACTTCTATTAGCATAAAACTTGACTATTCGTACTAATTCATTGAACAATTGGCATTTGATTGTCTAAATAACATCAAAGCTGTGCTAAATGACCCAGGTCACATGGCTCAGAATAGATCACATTGGTGTGGGTGTGTACAATCTTTGTCTTCCCTTAACCTGTGAGATCAAAATTACTTTACACTTTTCTTCCTGTATTATATCCTTATATACAATATTTCTTTATATATTACCACCACTGAAGTAACTGCTTCTATGAATTTATCGTACTGTGCTAATAAGGTATGGCAACTTGGACCGATGCATGTATGTGCCTGGTCCTACGTTTTAGCTGACTGGCCCAGGTCAGTAGGTTAACTCTGTCTAGTAAGCCACCAGCCTGGCTCCAGATAAGCGTTGAATGATTATCAAATCTAGTATATCAGACGTTATTATAGTACAATATGTCATGTTGTTATCCTATAAGGATTTCTAGCTAGTATCTCCGTCAGAATAATTTCTAAAATTAGACCATCATCTTTAAAGACCCGTAGTTAAGATACCAAGTTCTGTTGATTCCCATCTGTTTGAGTTAGATAGGACTGTTTTAATTTCGCTGAGATTTAGGAAACTTGTTGGGTTTCCACCTTGGTAATTAGAAAATAGTAGGTACCTATTAAACTGTTTCTGAAAGCCCTCCACATATTGTTTTAATCTCTTGAACTTTAAGAGGATCACATTCCTGACTCTTTGATGAATCAAAATAGTTGTCTTGTGTTGCATGTCGTTACTTTCGCTGCCCACCATTACTCGTGATTATCGCGTAAACCTTTTTGGTCTACGTCAAGGTTGTCATCACTGCCTATCGTCCTCTCAACCTGCCTAGGTGAGTTTCCGAGCAGATGTTGATCTAGTTGAATTTTCCTAGTCATTTGGTGTAAGTTCCTTGAGCACTATCAATTCCGGAGAGGATGCAGCGGCTGTTCTGTATATATCCGCACTACCAGCCATTTGTTTAGAATTGTCATTTGTAAACTTTCTGTACATATGAACTAGATTTAAGCATTAGATTAGGCCGTAACATAGCTCCTCCAGTTTCACTTACCACATGACCATGAAGTCACTAAATGTGCAGTCAGTTGATTTTAAGTTTCAAATTATTTGATTCTTTTTTTCCTGTGGATCCGTTTTTCCCCAAACCATTTTCTTTTTATCATGTCTTTTTTACTCCAGCTCATACTTCTATTATATTAATTTCGTCTCACTGTGCTGTTGTGATATGGAAACTTAGGGTGATGCAGTATGTTCCAGGTTCTGCGCTGCCTGACTATTTAATTCGAAATTATAGATACAACTCAAGTGTCTATTCAAATCAAAATATCCATCTGTTATTTTATTTGAAAAATGTGCTTTCTTAACTTTGGGAACTTCTTATTCATTCTACTTTGTAGGTAACAGATTTGAATGCAGTGTGTGACGTCATCGGTCATCTGGAGAACTTCCCGATGACTATGATTCAGTTACAGGATACTAGGATTGGTCAATTGTTACAAACCATTCGTCACAAGGTTGATCCACCTCTTCAAAAACGCATTCGACTTATTATCAAAGCATGGCAAAAGCTACTATCCTCTGAATATTCACATCAGTATGTCATTCCTTTGAAGACTTCGGACAAAAATATACCTACGTCACCTAGGTCGAATGGCACACCAATTAAAATATCTGCTCGTGAAAGATCCAAGCAACCAGCAGACACTGTAAATGCAATATACCCTCCTCAGATAAAAAGCTCCGTACATCTCACAAAGAGAAATTTCCCCGATTCTCCCTCAGAAAAACTCAACAAAGATGATTCACAAAAATCTGCTGTGCATCTAACACACCAAAACGATAACTATGTTTCAAATATTTCTAAACGTCTGAAGTGCGTAGACACAACATCAACAGTCGTTCAGGTCAAAAGTCCGAGTAACCTTGTGAATGGTAGTAAATGTATGGAATCACAACCTCAGAATACCGGGTTTAGAGAAAATTTAGATACTTCAGTACCTCAAACAATTATTTCAACAGCATCTCGATCTCCTTCATCGAAGCTCCGAGTAGCGAATTCCATGCGTTTGACGAAAGTGAAATCAACTGCAGAACTGGTCCAAGCTGCAGGAGATTGTATTGATTCCGTAACTGCTGACCGCATTCTTACAAATAGAATCAGCAAAGAAGTTGACCCTCCTCGAGTATGTTCAATGATGCAACCCACAAAAACACGACTGGCTCGTGCAAACTCTGGCTCTCAGTCAAGTTCACGCTGTGTCTCTGCCAATAATAATGAAACTTCGCATTCTCCTAAATGTAATACAATTTTAGAATTAAAGTCGGAAATACCCTTGGAGTGTCGAGAAAGTCCTGCTGTATACGAAAAAGATCACAACCTAACTTCTGATTCGGTTAAAAGTGTTATACCTTTTGTAAACGTTTCATCTATCAATAATCAAAGTCCTATAAGCTATAATAGTGAAAATATATCCAATCGACTATTATTCAAAGATGTTGAGAACGACACTGCGTCAATCGCTCAGAAAGTTAAAAAGAAAAAGAAGCATAAACATCACAAGGATGAAGCTGAAATATTAGGTCCTTCCAGACTACATTCCAACCAACTAAAAAGCCATCGTAAAAACAAAACGGTTTTCCCCCCTGTGACTAATTTTATGAACGATTGGCCTGACCTACCATGTTTGCCGGAAAACATTGACTGGCATAGCCTTGATCGCAGTTATGTAACTGTCTGTGATAACAGTTCTATGGAAATTTCAGAATATAGCTCTCCCAAAAAGTGTACAGTAGGTGCAGAAACTGAATATGCTTGTATTTCTCCTACTAATTTACACTCAATCATCCTAGATGATCAGTATTTACATATACTCCCTTGGGTTGATATGATTGGTTACAAGCGTCATTTCTTCCCTTCTTGTTCCGATCAGGAGTTGAGTGAACTAACTACAATGCCCGAGCCTTGGTGATACGTGTGATCCCGTTGATAAATCTTTATTTATGGTGCCTTTCTATGAGATAAACTGACCTGTTCTACTTGTTTCTTTCAAAGTGTGACTAATTTTGATGTATCCAAATTTCCTTTGGTTCAACAATGATGCAGATACCATGCAGCATTTATTTAACTCGTCAATAGTATGGTTTTCCGCTGTTCGGAACTGAATTACGTTCAGCTCGGTCTGGTATCTCGACAATAATTCAGTCACTTGTTTGTGTACCGGACATAACTACCCATCTAGTCTAAGTGGTTTTTGGTACTTTAAATTGGTGGACCACTTTTCCCCTGATTGCAAATACACACATATCGAAAGCCCAATCCGTGCTTTTTGAACGTTTTTACTCAGTGTGGGCTCGTAAATTTTTGTACATATATTATTTGACTGTTTGCTTTATAAGATTTGAAAAAAAACAAATATAAAAAATACTTAGACATGAAATCTTTTATTGTTATTTTGTCGTTGACTTTTCATTGCGCTGATATCGTCTTATTCGCATATCTTTTAATTGTTTGTTTTCGCATCGAGGTCACAAAATAAGCACTTGGGTCTCCTTCTCCAGTCACTTGTTACTGTCTGGATAAAGTTTTTTTCACAGTTGGGGCACTGAAATAAAGAAATGTTATGACTTAGTTTTTTTTAAAAATTATTTAAGTCCTCATGATTAAAACTAATCATCCGTACCATTATAAAGTGGTTTTGATATAGGAATGATATCCTTATATGTTGATACTTTGTCGTTTGGTTTGCGATAACTATTAAACAATTCGGATTGTATATCAGGAAGTAACCCGCTTTAGTGGTCAAATAATTCATAGTAGCTTTCGTCTCGATTTAATATGGTTTCATCCCTAAATGTGGTAATCTGTCATCCTAATTTTATTCCCTTACAAAAGCTGGAACCAAATGTGCAGTGTTAGCCGTTTTTCGACATCTATTTCACTGTATAGTAAAAATAAATGCAAATCGTACATCTACTTGTCGCCAAATGTTTCTGGTTTTTTCCGAAAACCCTATTAAGTGTTTTGTTTAGGTCACAATTTCAGATAATTCGATGACATTAGATGGTCTTGTGAACAAACTGCGCTAACCAGTAATTTATCTGTTAAGCCCAATGTTGAATTAGTGTATTTCTCCAGGAAGTCTTTATGCCAAAACTTAAGGATTTGTTGCTTCCTGTTTCTGTAAGAAGTGTTACAAGGAAACCATCCTGGAGGTCAATTGTTCATTTCTCGAGCTTTCCTCTTTATCAGACGTAAGAGGCAACACTAAGTGGTGGTTATTGATTTTTATTACATGCGGTTGAGAAGTTCGGTCGGGACGGGAAGTATCGTAGACGTCACAACTTGAAGTTGTAGCGTTTGCACACCGTAATGATGACTCGACGTTTTCTATATCCTCGCTATTATAACTTCGAGAACCACGTTAGATCTAGAGGACAGTAATGCTATTCATCCATTTAGAATGACTTCCTAGGAACTAAACTTTCGCAGCTCGTCTGTTTCTTTTCTTTTGCAATTACTTGGTATTGAGGGGTTTCTTCGTGATATTTTTATCCTGACTTTCTCTTGTTGGGCACTATCCTTCATATCAACCAGAATGCACTAAAGACAACCTGACAACGAAACTAAGGTCTACAGTCAAAACCCGTGTGCCTCAACTGTCAGTTTTAGATTTATATGACTTTTTAGTCCTGTGGTAGAATCCTAGACAAATGTACTGACGTTTTTCTTTCAAGCACAATGGTTTTTGATAGATACGGTGAGTCTGTCACAGTATCGATGTACATTTGGTTTTTTGACTTTTGAAAATGTGATCTATGTTCACTTATCCTGCCCAGCGCCAGTCATTCACTTTGTAATTTCTTCGTCCGTAAATTGGGACAGTGTGTACACAATATGTATGTCATGATATTGAATATGAGAACTCATTTTCTGAGACATCGTGTAGTAAAAATGTATCAGTCAAATTACTTCCGAAAAAAGTCCACCTATTAATAAAAATGACACACCTTCGTTACAATTGTAATCTTACTATACTTACCTTTAAAGTAAGAACAGTTTGCTCATTGCCAGGTAAGTAACTAAATGGCAACCTCTCAATCACTTCCATATTCCATGACCTTATCAGTCTGTCCTAAAACGTTGGTATTGATAATAGGATCTACTTTCGATGCTGTTAGAATCCACTTCCCATCTTTTGTCATGTGTACGTCATTAATCCAATCTGTATGTCTCTGTTTAAAATATTCTATAAATAGTACATGGTAATACCTTGAGACACAGCTTGACTTCTTTTTTCTCAGTATCCCATAATATAACACACTTGTCGTGACCTCCAGTTGCCAGATAGATCCCTAAGTAATATTATGGGTGAAACTTGGTCCTCACCATTATCGTCTATGTCACAGCTACTTATCGAACCAGTGTGACCATCAGCTAAAATCTGTGGTCCCTCTCTCCTGTAGTTTCCAGTCTCAATGTCGTATAGATGAACCGCTTTGTCCCATGATGTTGTTACCAGCAACTTTCCGTCTCTAGCGATGGCTGCCGATGATACAGCATTCCTATGATCACTAAAGATAATTTAATTTATAAATTCCACAAATCTAACCGCAAGGTCAGTAATGTTCTGAGAGATCGCAAGTCTGTGCATTTTGCGGATCCATCTGTTGATGTTGTAATTACACAATTTTCATTCGGAGTAAACAGACAACATGTTGGTGTATTTTCGTGAATATCTTAAAGCCAAATTAATCTTATCAGGTATGAATGATTTCACCTGGAATCGAAAAAACTTTCTTTCGCCATCTTAAATCCCATAAGTTCATTTGACAGCTGATATCGGTAACACATACCAAACAATTACCATCCTTGGTGATTGAATGATCAGTAACTGCACCTCCGTTTAGTAGAACCAACTGGGTTACGTAGTGAAAAATCTACTTTTACCTTGAGTTTTAAAGTTTCATAATCAAACAAACAGGTTCTAAAATCCATCCCACTTGATATAATACTGTAGTAGATTAATTAACATAAACATAATCTTACTTTAACCCATGACTGTCTATGTTTACGCTGTTGAGTTGCGTAGCATGTTTTGATGTGATACCTATTTGTTCCCTCGTTTTGAGAGACCATACGCGCAGTGTTTGGTCGCAACTCACTGAGACGACATGTTCAAGTTGGTCGTTGTAACTTAAGCTTGTTACTGAATCCGTATGACCTTGGAAAACAATATCATTAGACTGGTTATAGTTAGTAGGATACAAAATGGTGATTACGTGTTCGTTTTCCATTGTAAGAACACCGCATCCAATGACCGACGAGATTTAGGATGATCTAGGATAACAACGATTATGAATTCTTTGTGTCTATCAATATAATCTTGGTCTGATGTTATTAAACTTAGTGATTTTGTTTCACATGAGAATGCTTCACTTCTCAAATATTTCGGTCACCTGTCAACCGCTATGGGTTTAGGAATAAATATTAGCTTACAAAGGCTAAAATTTGTCTGAACACCTAATGGTCAAATTTTTTTGGTTTGTTCTGATTCTTATTGCTTCGATATTAAGAATGAGTGCACATATTTTGTAGGTGACTTTTAATTCTAATGAACTTGGTTAGAAGGCTTTGCCGGTATCAATAACATTTTTGTGATTAAGGTTAACAGCCTAAACATTATGACCAAACTAGGGCCTGGTCTTCATTTTATTTAGTGTTCTCAACTTCAAGTTATTGTTGATTCAAAAGCTGTGCAGTAAAACGAATCAAGATTTTCGATGTATTAAGATACATGATTGCTAGAAATTAATTTTTAAATTCACTCTTTGAAATGCAACGAAAAATTCCAGCATTGACTGAGGATTCTTACGTCCTTATAATGGCAGAATAATCTGCCAAAATAGAATGGATTTTCGTTCGCAGTAAAATCTCAACAGATACTGATAATAAAAATTATGTGTTGACTGTATAGGCATTCTTAAAGAAACCGAGATATAAGTTAAGTTTTCATGAGCATACCTCAGGAATGTAAGGGTCATGGATTTTGTTTTTTTTTATGAAGCTGAGTTACTATTCTCCAAGTATTTCGAAAGTGCAACCTAAAATATAATACCTACGGAACCAATTTGATCTAAACCCGAAAGGATACTGGGAAAAGTGGTAAAGCTGATACTTCTGTCAAGTCTGATTGTTTATTAAAATCGTAGTGTTGTTTTGTGTTTGATGGTCTTGTGTGACTACATGATGAATAACGACAGGGATGTAAATTCATACAAAAAACAAAAGATCTGAAATATGTTAGCCTTTTCGACGTAGAATCGGACAATTTAAAGAATTTAATGTTAATAATATATCACTAGTTCTTAAAATAAGAATAATTTAGTTCCCAGAAGTTAGGAAGCTAATTTTGGCTACAATAAGCCCAGTGGTTTGTAGAACTGAAAATCTGATTTCGACTTGATTGCATCAACAGCAGTTACTAATACTACATATCCTTCTAGCGAATTGCTATAAAGACTTGGAAACTACACAACCCGGCCCAAACTAACTGCAACACCGAATATATTCCTACTTGAGAATAGCTACAGGGCACTAAGTTGTTTATTACACATCAATAATATTAACAATTCTCAATGCCGAATTATTTGTGTGAGATTGGCACATGCAATAGCATAAATGACCTTGTCTGTCGATTCTTCTTTCCATTTTCATTCAAATAAACCCTGATAAAACTTTGTTCTAGCTATACCAAAGAAACAATAAAGCATGGCTATCATACGGAGGTGAGGTAGAGTAGGGGACCTTTTTATAGTGTAGAGCCGATGTAATGCTATTTAAAATAAATAGTTACACTGTTTCAGTCAACTACGTAGTATATTAGAACTAAGTGTTGAGCTTGATTATAGTCACGTTCTTACAATAGATGACTTGAGTTTCTTACCACAGAAACGTGATCCTAAAAATATAATTCTGTCGTACTTCGAAATATGGTTTTTCTATAACAATCTTATACCTAAAACTTGTTTCAGACACCAAGAACTTAAGAATGACATCATTCACACTTACACTTTTACCAATGGTTCATCTCCAGTCTTTCTTATGTGGAAAGACAAGTGAGAAATCATTCTTTTCTATATTGTTTCAAAAAGTCTCGCAGATTCAGATAACCACCGTGGAACTTAAATAAGAATCTGGTTAAGAGTGCAAATACTTATGTTAAAGCGTGAGGATATCGAAGTATATACAAAATAAATATACGTAGCACTTATTCTATTGGACTCCGAAACCAAAGATTCAGAACCTAGAACCATGAGGAAATTGAGGCTTAGGATGTCTCAGATCCTAATACTTCACATTGGAGTTAACGTGTAAAGAAAATAAAAAGTAGTTTACGATGAATCTACCCGTTCGTCCTCGAAACAGATCAGATATTAGCTTAAATATATACATAAATTCCGTTGTACTTTTTTACGATGTCACAGACCACTTCAATAATATGTTAGATAAATTACTACGAATATACCAATTAAACACTTGTTATGATATCGTTTAAACATATGTTGCAAATATTGCTTATCAGCAGCGTTTTGAAACCACAGACAATTATGAACAGCTAGTTTGGCACCTTAGGTTTACAGACACATGAAACTGTAGAGTTATAAAGAAACATAGTTGCTGCATTTAAGTGCAGCTTTACGACACAGCTATAGAAAACCAGATGATAACTTATACAATTCAGCCTTCGGTGTATTTGCGTCCACAGTAAAGCTTTGCTATGATTTGAGTGGGGTTCAAAGCAGTCTTTAAGGATTTCACGGAATTATCACACTGTTTTATCAACACATTGAGATGACTCGACGATCAGATAGCACACAGAAAGTCGCTTAAATTTAATCACATAAGTTTTTATCGATTGCTAGCAATCGATAACAACACATTTATACAAGCTTGAGACTCAGTTAGTTTGGTAGTCAAAACTATACTTGTTGGAGCTTATTTTCGAACTCAACTCGATTAGTTAGTTGAAATCGTCGTCTTAGTAAATCCTCTGATGAGATGCTTATAAATTCTCAGGTCAATTAACTTCCAATGAAATTCAACTGCTCAACCAAGGATGTTGATACAACCAAATAATTAGTCAATTGTGGGGATTGTAGTAATTTCAACAGTTGAGATCATGGGTCAACTGTTAAAATTACTGCAATCTTCACAATACTCCTTCTGATACTAATCAAAGATCGTTCTTATATGATGGTGTTGTTAACGTTAGAACCTGAATATTTAATCTGTGCGAACCTAACTCCATAGTGATATGTACCAAGCCATGTAGTAAAATAGTATCTAGCAAATTCAGTTTTGTACTGCGGAAATAATATCAGCTACGAATGTGTAAGCATTCTCGGCTACTAGAACAATAAGCAAATTACTTCGCGAATCCCCTTAATATTTGTTTTAACCTATCTGTAACCCTGGACCGGTTGCCAAAAGACCGGAAGAACGCAATAGTAAGTTTTGCCTTCAAGGCACAAACCTGAGAGCTGTTGACCAGTAGGTCTAACCGGTTGGTCTACTAAATTTTAAAAAAAGAATGCTCGGAAGGATTCTTTCAAGTATCGCAACAACACCTTGATTCTTTCTAAAAAGCAGCACGGCTTTAGAACATGTTATTTACACCTCAGTAGCCCATTAATAGCTGTTACAAGTTGGTGAGCTTTTAAAGGCCAAAAGTTACCTATAGATATAGTTTACACTGAATTTAAAGAGGCTTTTGACAAAGTTCATCACAACCGGCTTTTATTTAAGTTAAGGAATGTCGGGGTTGGAGGCAATTTATTAACGTGGATAAAGGACTTCTTAGTTGGGCGTCAACAAAGCGTACATGCGAACTCAAATTTGTTTAGCTGGAGAATAGTGTTTAGGGGAGGGCCTTAATGTACAGTTTTTGGGACAGTGTTGTGTCTTTTTTATGTACATTATCATCTTAGTTTCCTATCTCTGTCGGTTTTGTTATGTGCTGATATGCAAGGCGATAATGTAAATAGATGAAAGTTAAGAGCTTCGAAATGACCCGGAGAAATTATCGGACTGATTTAAATTTTGGTAGTTGTCGATAAAAGCTCCCAAGTGCATTGTGAGACATATCAGCCAACAAGGTATTGAAACATACACAATGAATAAAAATGTTGTCTAGACATAATGACTTAGGATTCATCGTTAGCCAATGCTTGAAAATTACTGTACACTACTGTGTCGTAGCCGACATAGGTTTTGGAATCCTATGGTCAATAGGTATGCTGTACTTGTGCATCTTAAACTCGATTACTACATAAAAGCGAATACATCTACCTAAAACGAAACACCAGGCAGTTGAAACGGGTTCAAAGAACCACAATCAAGCTGACCGTATGATGTTCGACTGACTAAACTAAACCAGTTTTTCTCTTAGAACATAGAATTTACGGGGACACTATAAAAATGTTCACAAGATCGAAACAGACAACTTGTCCGCTGAATATCGACCTTCCTATCGAATCATCAACGAATGGAATCCACTAACCCAACACATGATTGAAGCTCCATCTTTTCACGTCATCAAAAAAAATTGGATAAATCGAGATATCACAGTTTTAATGACTAACACAGGTCACTCAGACTACTGTCCTATCCAAACTGAGCATAAATATTTTATAAGTATGTTGTGTCATCGGTATTAATTGTATTCGACTTTGCCTCCAGAGTAATAGATTTGTCACCATACAATGACCAAGTCTGTGAGTATTCACGTGGAATTCACATCATTGTCGATGCTGACTAGTCTTACTGTCGCAATCAGTAATATGGTGTTTCGCACTTCTGGAGTATACATTTCGGCTGGCAACAGAATATATTTAATATGAATGGGAGAACTTAACATAGAGCGATCACGTCTGCACAGCCAAGCGGTAATGACTCAGCGGCATCATCCATTGACTGAAGTTGCCAAACGCATGGAGACTTGTGTACCACCCTAACAATCTAAGTTTTTTAGAAAGCTCTTAAATTTTGATCCTAGTTTAACCACATTATCTGGTAGCTTCCATCCTTGAAGCAAAGAAAGTGATGCCATCGTAATAATGCATGATATGCGACGAGTCTTCAATGATATTATTTTATCAAAACAATTTACTAGCAGAGATAATTTCATGACCTTTCTGAAAGAAGTACATAAATTAACGATACATCTGTGGATAACAATTATTTGTGCAGTATTGGTATATTAAGTATGTCATGTCGGTTCGTAAAGAGATGGAAAGCCACCTTACTCTGAAATTTTTCGTCAGATATGCTTGTCAAGATGTGTGTAAATGCAGAACATCGGGATCAGATGTCTTCAGAGTACTACAGTTAATGGTGACGAAGAAGCTACATCGTCAACATGCATTGTTTTGATTGACCATAATTATGTTTCTAGATAATAATATATTTGTAACTGTGATTGTTCTTCAGTTAGAAGTAAGTAATTTGTATGTGGCCATCAACTTGTTATTTCAGCGTTTCGGTAGGAAGACATCTATGTGGTCCTGTTACTGTGTGTTTCTGAAACGTTAAAACTTCCCGTGAAGTTTAGGACTGAAGTTGATCAGTCTCTTATTTCATATGTGCATTCTGCGAGTATTGCCTTGATATCGCCTTAATTTACAAGCATTATAAGCAAAGATGGTTAGAGGCTAGCAGTGGAATCCAGGACGCGTGTTTCGTCCTATTCGGGACTCGTCATTTGGATGTACCTGCATCTCAGCATTGATGTTCACTATGGGACTCGAACCCAGTACTTTTATTGAAATCATGAACTGTTCTCGGATGGTCGTCCCAGAATAGTGTGAGTGTTCACGTTAGTCCTCAGAAGTCGACATACACAAATCCAACACAGGACATCGAATTCGGGTCCCTCCGTTTCACATACGAACGCCCAATATCTATACAACTGACTCAACATCAAACAGTGTTACGATCTAACTTCAATCAATCTACAACATTGATCGATCGTCTTGTGTTGTGTTCGATGGGTAACTGCTCCACAATCAATGCGGTTGGATCCTATTGATCACGATTTCTCACTAGAGGTTGAGATTATTGGATATCGAGTGATTGTTCTAGAGGTTAAGTGTTTGTGTGTGTGACATATGGTCTTGAGTATTATTAGTAAATGTGAGGTGGTCACTCCGTCAGTCAGATACAACGTAGGACCAAGCACATTTATGCATTGATCTAAGTTGTCACACCAACGGGTAGAAAATTAGATTATCTGACGTTTTGCGACTTAGTGTAAGTCACTTCTGAGAAGTGACTCACACTAAGTTGGGATATTACAAATATATTTTTTATTGATAACAATCTACCCAATTTATTCGAAATTATCATTGGAATAAATGTTTGCTTCTGTTGTTGGTAGCTAACAATTTCTAGGTTGGTGTTCACGTAGTAATTCGTCCAGACCAGTTGCCGAATTTTGCAATCATGAACTTGTCGCATTTGTAGCGTGGCGTCGAGTCGCGATTGACTATGAACACCGCTACCAAAAAGTTCGTTCCAAATGACTCCATAAAAACCCCGAGAAGCCAAATATCAGAAGGCAGAAAATGGACCAAGTCAAGATTTATTCACTGGCGATCTCGTGGTATCGAAAGGATACAAACTTGGTTACAGAAGGTAACCGAATTCGCGCGAAATTACAATCGAAGTGTAAGAACAAGAATGGAAGCCCAATATAGCTGTCATTAGCACAGTCAAACAAAAGCACTTTAAAACAAACACTGGTACAACTGTTTATAATAATAATTGTTTTTATTAAATCAGTCGTGTTCTCGTGATAAATGTAAGTCACTACACATTCATGTAATAAGAGAAGGTTGGTACAACTGAATTGCAATGTTAAAACAGCAACTTTGATTTACTTATTCTTAGTTCAAATAATAATAACCTGTCTTTGATAATCAATCTCATTTCTTGCCTTGCATTTAATATTTCTTACTACAAAATCATGAGTTTTGTGAACCACGTTTTATCACGAGAGCTACTTTTGCTACCGACTATCCTTGTAAGATTGCTGGCAACTTAAAAATTTAGACACTATACAGAACGTGTGAAACATTGATTGAATGTATAGAGCTTCGACAGTGGATTCAGTATGTCAGTAGCCTTACCAGAAATCAAAACATCTTGAACTTAGTTTTCACCAGTGGCCTCACCTACGATAATGTGTATATTGGAAAAACGTTTCCAGGTAGCTATCGCAACATTGGCATATGTAGCCTTAGTATAAATACCACAAACTGTAACGCTTCGCAGAAACGTCCACAAGGTCGATTGAAAAAACTTCCACACGCACCTAGGAAGTACTGCTCGTAGAACCTTGTTTAATACAGTCAATACCGACGCACAAACTAATATATTCTATCACAACATAATAAATATCTTTAACGAAATCTCACATTTAGAATCCCGAAAACGTAGGTTTTCTAAAGACCTGTGTATACCGAACTGTATGAGAAGACGTCTTTGAAGACGTTGTACTCGATTTCACTACCTTAATAACTTTTCCTCTTCAGTAACGATGACAGAAATGTCTGTTCAGACATAAGCGACACATACACAGAAAACAGTCACGCAGGAAAAACTCTCTGTTGAACTTAATAATGACTACCCGCAATTACCGAACTTCTTCAAAATGAACTTGGACGTACTAAACCGGAAGGATGAAAAGTATTTATCAAGGACAAGCAAGTATACGAAGACCTTAGACTATTTAGTGCACACTTTTGTTCCTCATAAGCTAACGAAAAATTGTCAAATGAATCAGAACGAATCCCAGTGTCTTCCTGTGAAATGACTAATGTAGGCTTCAATTAACAGAATATATCTAAGGCAATTAGCATGCTAAATCACTCCAACATGGATGGATCTGTTGGTACTCCGGCTAGTATGCTTAAAAGTGGAGGTGATTATATGTGTGTTTTATTTCTCAAACTATTTGCAATATTAATCTTTAGAGCATGTTATCGTACTGCCTGGAAAACTACACATATCATTCCCAAAATTATGACAGGACCAGGAGTAAGTGTTGACAATTACCGGCTCATAAACATACCTCAGTGGTATATATAGTGATGGAAAATGTATTTAAGGCGAGGTACCTCAACATAAAATCACTAATTATCTCATCTCCACCTCCCACCATGTGTTTCTTAGGTCCAGATCATGGAATACATGCCTAGTAGACTACCTGAATGATAAAACC